TCAATTCTTAAAACGCAGTGTGAACTCATAATGACCTTGAATGACCATATATTTACGTGTGTGGTAAAGTTGGAAGTAGCCTAATACCTGTGGGTATAGCGCTGACACTGACTGCCAAGTTAAAAGCTTTTTAATTCCTATTACTATGATATACAGAATGCTATGCTATGACGGACTGAATGTTGATATACGGAAATACAAAAAGAAAATTTACAAAAATTTCAAAGAACTATATAATTACTGGCTCACTATTATGAAACTAGAAAACTTAGATCTAAAATGAGATTTAACAGCAATGTGTGTTGATTTTCTCCCGCCAATAATGGAAGTACATTTATAGCTATTTACCCCACTTGTATAAATTCTCGCGCGTTGATTGGCTTATTAGAGTGTTTCAATAAGAGAACATGCACACTGAGATGACACCATTACGTCTCATATCTTCACATTTTACATTTTCAACATTTTATGACGTCAAGAGTGTGTCAATAAGAGACGATACAATCGAAATTATCGTGCACAATTTGTTAAATGTTGCCTGTTTCTTCTTCATAAATATGTTTTAGAAATTTCTAATTTTTTTGGTGTCAGCTTTCCTGATATTAACAAGCGATATTGAGACCGTATTTTAATGTTTTGTTCTATTAATAGATAATGGCATTCGAAGATACAGAGGTTTTCTCTAAGTAAATACTGATTACTGATGTATATTTCCTCTTTATACCAAGAGGAAATCCCAAATAAATATTTAATAAATGAAGTAGATCAAATAATGCTTCACTCTTGTATTATTATGTCTTTAATTTTCATTTATACTTTTTTTGTTAAATGATTTTGTAATACTATAATACCATAGTATTTTCAATAATAGAACATTTAAGACTCATTTGTTTTTTCACAATGCTTTTACTGAAATGCATTTAAAATTATCTACCCATAATCCCTTCCGCACTTGTCGCCATATATAGAACTGATAAGCGTCAACGTTTAAAAATAGTGTATACAAACACCTGCCTCAATATTGGCGATTTTTACTTCTGTTTATGTAAAAAATGCACGTTTTTCTGTCTTGTAGATGCTAGTTGTTGGACTCGTATTAACATTATAGTAATATTAATAATTTCTTTACTTCCTATAAAAAAACATCAACTACATTCAGCGAAAATTTGACAATAATTGATTGCCTTTTGTATACAGAAAAAGATGTACGATGAATTCAAGTACAATATATAGAATTGCATCTCGTTTAAAGATTTTGGACTACAACTTTTGCTGCAACCACTGACTGAATTGCCAAGTTCGAGTTTTCTTGGCGAGATCTTGAATTTGATGCATTAACAGAAGCAATTGCCGTTACGGAAGACATGTTTCTCCGACATAACACGCACTGCATGATTTTCAAATACTCTTTCTTAAACTGTGGGTTCATCAGTCCATAGATTATAGGGTTAGTTGCACTGATCAGCGTAGCAAGAAAGCCATAGATAATATAAACCTCTCTTTTCATCGACCAGTAGCCACGGCCTGTATCAATGAGATCAATGATTAGGATTGGAGTCCAGCATGTCATGTACACCAACATCACCACAAACAATGTGCGAGTTATCTTAATTTCCTCGACGCTCAGGTTATTGCTAGATCCTCTGGACTGTGAAAATTGTTTGTTGTGCCTGTGAACAGCTTGGAAGACCCTGAGGTAGCAGTATAGTGTAACGCTGGTTGGGATTCCTATGTATAAGGATACTGTAAGAGCTGTATACCATGCTACTTCAATTTCAAGATAACAGAATTTTCCAGGATGAAAGACCATGCGATTTCCAGATAACAAGTATGGTATTGTAGCCATGTCTGCATACACCCAAACTAAAACAATACCAAGTTTTGTAGACTTCATCGTAAAGTATTTCCTGTACTTGTTTGGCTTTACGACACTAAAGTATCTGTTAACAGAGGTACACGCCAAAAATTGCACCGATGCGAGCGCTAAGGAAACTGCTACGAAACCATTGTACTGGCAAGCTGCATCTCCAAAAGGCCAATACCCAACAACATTAACGCTGAAACACATTGGCAATACCAATAGACCCATTCCAATGTCAGAAAATGACAATGATACAATGAAAAGGTTGGGTACAGTGCGGAGTTGACGATTTTTGTAAACTATAAAGAGTGTCATGGCGTTCCCGACGAGTATCAGAAGTCCAATGGCTAGAAAAACCCCACATTCAAACACAACACGAGCAGTGCTTCGCGATCGTAATTCAGCAGCAAACTTAGCCAATATAGCTTTGTGATTCATATTGCTGCAGTTCACTTAGTATAGTTCACGGATAATTCCAGTGGTTTTGAAAGATTATAATAATGTCACGCCACCACTTGTATCACATCTTCTCATTTGATTTCATAATGTTATAAAAAATTCATTTAAACATGCAGAGTAATTTTACCATAATTACGATTTATTAAAAAAAATACGTCAGTTGACCTTTTTGACGCTGAGCAAACCAAGAATTAGTTGACGTATACAAGTAAGTTAGTTACCGAGAACGGAGGCATTACGCTATATACAGCCTTAAGGCCTGCGGCAAAACTAACAACCTTAGATTACAATTCACTTGGTTTGCGCTAAAACTGAATAGACTAAATGAATGTTTTCTTTGTTGGGATTCGAACAATAGAATCGTCTCCTCTTGCAGAGACTTTTCATATCCTGTTGAAATTAGTTTCCTTAAACACCTGTTCATGCAAGAGCGTGCAATCGAAAATTGAATTTGGTTATCAAATATTCTTTAATGACACGCATTCTGGAAACGATGTCGAACAGTAACGACGATTAATTTATATATAGCTCATATATAGCAGCATTCCTTTGACGAACTTTGATATTGACGATTTTCTATCGGATTTGGAACTATACGTATACCTATGCCCGCAAATAACGATGGCAAATTGGTAGAAGAGAAAAAAGGAGAGAAAAATTACAATAATCTTTGAAAAAACGAGAGAAGGATATCCAGAAGGAACTAATTTAGTACCAAAGGGTGTGTACGTGCTTAGATAGAATGGTCAAAGGAGTGGAGAGATACGTTTATTCCGACGTATTTTACTCTAAGTAACGAAGAACTTGGCTATTTTTGTCTCTAAGACCGTTGGCCATGTTGGATGGCCGTTGTGGCGTAACATTTTATGACGTCAGGAGTGTGTCAATAAGAGAAAATACAATCTAAATCGTGCACAATTTGTTAAATTTTGTCTGTTTCTGCTTCATAAATATGTTTTAGAAATTTCTATTTTTTTTATGTCAGTTTTCCTGATATTTAACAAGCGATATTGAGACCGTATTTTAATGTTTTTTTTCTATTAATAAATACATAGGTTTTCTCTAAGTAAATACTGATGTATACTTCCTCTTTATACCAAGAGGAAAGCCCTAATAGATATTTAATAAATCATATTTACAATTTTACCATTCATTCTTGTATAATGACCATTACGTATAGTTTAGAATACGAGAGAGTGTTTTATCAGGTATAAAGATTCGAGCCGAAGGCGAAGTTCGGGTCTTTATATCTGATAAGAGTGTTTTATCAGCTATATAAAAAGGGTCCATGCGTGTGACCAAACTGGCTCATTCTATTTGCCTAATAACTCATTAATTATGTATGAGTTTTTGAAAATTTACATACTGATGCCTCAATATTGGCGATTCACACTCTCTTAATAAAGAAACTACGCACGTTTTTCTGTCTCGATGGTAGTTGGACTCGTATTAACATGATTACAAAGATACTTCATAGTCGAACAGACAATAAATGTGATTCAGTAAACTATCGACCACATCATTTAGAGAAAATTTGACTGAACTGATTGCTTTTTGTTTACAGGAAGAAGGTGTGTACTATGAATTTAAATAGAATATCTACGACAAATCAGGCAATCATGAGAATAGATACAATATATGAAATTATATCTCGTTTTAAGATTTACAACTTTGCCGTATCGACCGACTGAATTCCCAAGTTCACGTTTTCTTGGCGAGATCTCGAATGTGATGCATATACCGTGGAAATTGCCGTTACGGAAGATGGATTTCTCCGACATAATTCCCACTGCATGATCTTCAAATACTCTTTCTTAAACTGTGGGTTCATCAGTCCATAGATTATAGGGTTAGTTGCACTGCTCACCACTGCGAGGTAACTGTAGAAGGTATACACTTCTCTTTTCATCGACCAGTAACCACGGCCTGTATCAATGAGATCAATGATTAGGATTGGCGTCCAGCATGTCATGTACACCAACATCACTACAAACAATGTGCGAGTTATCTTAATTTCCTCGACGCTCAGGTTATTGTTAGACCCTCTTGACTGTGCAAATTGTTTGTTATGCTTGTGAACAGCTTGGAAGACCCTGAGATAGCAGTATAGTGTGACACTGGTTGGGATTCCTATGCATAAAGATGAAATGAGGGCTGTATACCATGTTACTTCAATTTTTAAGCAACAGACTAATTTTCCCGGATGAAAGACCATGCGATTTCCAGATAACAAGTATGGTATGGTAGACACGGCCGCGCATACCCAAACTAATGCAATGTACAGTGCTGTAGACTTCATCGTAAAGTATTTCCTGTACTTGTTTGGCTTTACGACACGAAAGTATCTGTTAACAGAGGTACACGCCAAAAATTGCACCGATGCAACTGCCATGGAAACTGCTACGAAACCGTTGTACTGGCAAGCTGCATCTCCAAAAGGCCAATGACCACCAACAAGAACAGTGAAACACATTGGCATTGCCAAGACAGCCATTCCAATGTCAGAAAATGCCAATGAAACGATGAAAAAGTTGGTGACAGTGCGAAGATGAAAATTCTTGTAAACTATGAACAGTGTCATGGCGTTCCCGACGAGTATCAAAAGTCCAATGCCCAGAAAAACTCCACTTTCAAACACAACACGAGCAGTGCTTCGTGATCGTAATTCAACAGCAAGTCTAGCCAAGACAGCAGTGTGATTCATATTGCTGCAGTTCATTAAGTGTAGCTCTCGGGTATTTCAGTTGCTTTAAAAGATTAATAATTGCACGCCACCTTGCCACCTGTCACTTAATGTCACATTTTCTCTTTTGATATCTAAATGTTATAAAAATTCATTTAAACATGCAGAGTAATATTACCATAACTCCCATTTATCAAGAAAAAAGATGTCAGTTGACAAATAGAAGGATATGACGAACTAACAGCTGAGCAAACCAAGAATTACTGACGTATACAATCGGTTCCCTACGCCATCTTGAAAGGTAATCGTGCCTTTGCATCGAAGCAAGATGACCATTTAGCGTGCAGTGATAAAAACCTTCTTTTACACCTAAAGTCAATTATTCACAGGTATCTATCATTGTATACTCAATGGTCTCGCTTTGATGCAAAGGCACGATTGCCTTTCAAGATGGCGCAGGGAACCTTGAAGAGACTCGTTTTATAGTGTATTCTTTTCTTCAATTTAAGAATTTTTATGAGAGTCTCTGTACCGTTGAAACGTCCGGCTGAATTCGTAAGTTTAGATCTTCTTGTGAGGTCTTGGTCGGGATTGTGAAGCATTTCCAGCGGTAATTATCGTCACAGACGATGTGTTCTCGCTTCCTCGACAAAATTGACAAAAAATGATTTTCAAATACTCTTTCTTAAACTGTGAGTTCATCAGTCCATAGATTATAGGGTTAGTTGCACTGCTCACCACTGCAAGGTAACTGTAGAAGGTATACACTTCTCTATTCATTGACCAGTAACCACGGCCTGTATCAATGAGATCAATGATTAGGATTGG